GCTTGCATATTTGTTTGAAATATTATCTTTAGTTGCCAATATCAGAGAGCAGTACTTGCACCTCGACCAACTGCCCAACTTCTTTTTCAAAAATATACCTCTCACCATAATTTTTACAAGGCTTCCAGAACTTATATTAACCACTATGATATTTTTATTAATAATCCTACTGCTGTTTAGTCTTATATTCAAACATTATACCCAGATAAAGAACAACAAACTCTAGGAGAAATTACTACTCCCATTTTACTTCTATCTGCTCCTAATACTATTATTAATATAGAAGAACCTGTTGTTGCCTCTACTTCAACTTCTACCTTTATCACTCAACTTAAAAGACAAGAAGAATCTTTAACTCCATTTGATAACTCAGAAAGCACTTTAGAAAAAGCAACACTATCATCTACTCTACAACCACGACTTATTCAGAAAATTTTTAGAACTATAACTTCTCTTAGCCCTCGACAAACTGGTTCTTCTTTTACTTCTGAAACCCATCAAGAAGATACTCAATCAGTTAATACTGAAGCCTTATATACAGAAGAAGCTACTTTATCATCAATATATACTGTAGATGAAGAAATTACTACAACTACCTATTTATTTGAGCAGAACTATCAATCTTTTTACCCACTAATTAAAACCTCTAGTCCATCACCAGAATGTCTTTACCCAAATATCCCAGATATCTCTAGTTTAACTTCTACTTACTCTTCACTTTATCCTTGAATTTCTAAAACAACCTATATATATAATTATCTTTCTCAAGAGAATTTAGACTATTTTAAATGACTAGAATCAGAAAATTTATTTGAACAAAATCCTTTATCTTCACCTAAACAGACAAGCTCCAAGCAAATACTAAACTCAGATAGTTCAGATATTGACAAAGAAACAAATATAGATCAAGCCGCTACTGCTATGATTCATTTGGCTGAAGCTCTTGCTAAAGGAGGAGGAGAAAAATCTTTTATTAAGATTAAACCATTTAGAGGAGATGGTACTGAAGATCTTGTTGATTGGATTAATGAATTTGAACGAGCTACTATTGCCAATAACTAGAATGAAGATAGAAAGCTTGCAATTGCCAAAGTTTATATATATAACAATACAGAAGACTAGTTAAAGGAATTGGCAGACAATACAATCTGAACATATGATACTGACGATATTGACTATTAGTTTAAGGACCTATTTTTGAAACAGTTTATAACTACCAAGAAGCAAGCTATGTAGCAACAAGAATTTTTTAATCTATAAATAAATACTGAAGATATCTATGCTGTTTAGTTTAAGAAACTGCAAAAGAAAGTGAACCCAGATCCAGCAAACCAGTTTCCTGACTCTTTTGTTGTTCAACTTTTTATCAAAGGATTACAATCTGAGTATACAATTCCTGTACAAGAATCAACCTCAGAAAATCTAAATGAAGCTATTGCTACTGCCAAACAATGAGAAACTGGAAGATTAATAGCCTCAGCAAAAGATCTAGTAATGAATGCTATTAGTAAGAAGAGCACCAGAAATCAGCTAATTTTTTAGAGGAGTGAAGAGGTAAAAAAAATTATCAAGTATATAGTTTTAGCTAATTAAAATTTTTTATTTAAATCAGGTAGGGAGAAGAGGAGTAGTCTTTTAATAAAAAAATATCAGCTGATAAATGGTCTTCTCCTAACCTTACTAGCCGCTTTGACAAATTGGCTATTAATATAATCCAGCAGCAACCAGAACCCCAACCAAAACCTGCTTATATAGCTAAAAGAGAATCTGGTTTCTCTCATTCAAACAACTTTAGCCAGGATAGAGCTTTTTGTTATTATTGTAAAAACCTAGGACATTTTATTGCCACTATAGAAAGAGACGTAATGATAATCAAAGAAACAGAAATAATGGAAGAAGAACTAATAATAATAATAATAGAAGAAATAATAATAACCATGACAATAATAAT